GAAAAGACCAGAGAACACTTGTCATCTGAAAATTAATAATTTCCCCAAATCCTGTGTTGATTTTGAATCACACTGATAATGCATTGATTCATAGTTATCATCTACCACAACAGCTGATGTTTTTACTGTTTCTGAATGTTTAATTGACTCAATTTTTCATCCATACATTGAAAGCATATATACACTAGCAGATGAACCAGTACAGCAAGTATTATTTGTATCCCGCAGTAGATGATGATTAAAGGATTTTGGAGACAGACTCTCAACTCACTCACATCAAAACCTAATCCTTACTCCAATTCCATCTCCAAACTTGGCTGGACAACAGAACTCCAAGCCATAGGTCAGGTCAACAGCATCCAGCAAAGAAGCCATTAAGTAATTTTCACACATATACCAAAAGTCCCAAGTTGTAGCTTGTAGCTACTCCTCTACTATACTATAAAGAAAATTTTCATAATCTATTACAGGTATATCTTCTTACATGTAAATAAGACAATTCAATATACAACAGCAACTTAAGAATGTATCTGAGGGTACGACAGAATATAGCATTTTATTTTTGGAATGTAGTTCATTTGAATCTAACAAAGCAAATGAAGTAAACACTCCATAGCGGATGTTTGTGAGAATTTGCTGTAAGTGCACACCAAATACTGAAGCTTAAGCTGCTCAACACACTACAAGTTTTGCACCTAGATGCAGAGGTAACTTTGTCCAAAAAAATGCATTGACTGTTAAGATTTCTAGAAAGTCATCATTTGTTCCATGTGTATCTGAAACCTTACACTGAAGTCTAATCTCAAAGAAGCAATCAGTAAAGATTTTTAACACCTGCAATTCTGTACTGCTGCAAAAGGGAAAAGAACAAAAACAGCCCCCTCCACCCATCTTTCTTTGAACTCTTGCCTACTTTTATAGGATAACCTTCACCTGCAAAATAACCGTAGCACCACTACAACTCAAAATGCAAATTTCTCGTCTGAAGAATGTTCCAATCCAAGATTATCTACACTAAAATAGAGATCCTTTAATGCCTTGGTGTATTTAAACTATACCATTGGGAAGCAGGATACACAAAATGTTGTATCCAGTTACGGCTAAAGGTCTGTGTTAAGGAGAATCTCTCTGACAAATCTCTAAGCAGTCACTTGGTCACAACCACTAGAGACCAATGCAAAAAATAATTCCAAAAAGCCTTTCAGAATGTCAAGATTGATAACAAAATAACTGCAAGTTAGAACGGGCTTTTCCTTCCCCCATTTCTAAATGAGAGAGGGGCTCTGCAAAGATACTTCCCCCTCTTCTCAAGACAGACATGGTTCCATTCAAAATAACAGCAGACAAAAAGCACTGCTCATTACTGCACCTTTCAAAATCAGCTGAATTATTTTGCAAGTCAAATGGATGCATTTTTATGTAATGCTTTACCACAAACATCGCATCAGGGTTTATCCTAAGAAGTAACTACTTAAAATACCAACAGCAACCAGAAGTAATCTGAAGTTTGGAATTCAAGACTCAACAAGCAAACAAACCAGGTTACACTTTTTGATCTTTTAGTCCTATTGAATAAAAGCTGATATGGCCACCTAAGTGCTAAGATCTCTTTTGGGCAGCAAATGAAGGTGGCATCACATAAAGAACATTAATTGCATCCGACTGCTAAACAACATCTCTCTGATAGCTTCTGCTGTTGGACCAACACATACCAAAAAATTATGTAAATAATCACTTTTAATGTCATCTCATACACACTAGGTTTATAGGAAATTACACAACAGTTCAACAGATAGCACAGACTTCTTCAGAAGTATTGAAGAAAGATGAAATGTACTAAGTAGAGTACTGTAACTGTAAAAAGTGTATGTAAACATTGAAGAGTTTCGAAAAAGCCAAATCCTTTACATTGCGCATAAAAAAAAAAGTGGTACTCCAAAGCTGTAATAATTATTTACAACTGCAATGCTTATTTTGCACTGAAAAAGAAACATTTATGGGGAGGAAAAGTATTTGACAGAACATACACAAACCCAAAGCACACATGACGGTAAGTCAGCATTCACAATTCACTTGCTTTTAAAATTTTGAAACTACATTAGCATGATTTTTTTCAAATTTGACTGTGGCTTTTAAAAACTGTTTTAAATAACCTTCTGGTCTGGCTGCTCAGTGAAGTTGGCTTAGTACCGTTTTATCCTTTTCCAGTCTCCCTAAATACCTTTGCATTCCATCAGCCAATTTTGGACAAGCCTGAAAGGCCTAAGTCTCAAATCCATTGCAGAAGTTTTGTAAAAACGGTGGGGAGAGCATGCATCAATGTTGGTACTGAGGAGAGGATGGCTCAGTCCCTGCAGGACACATAGGACTATCCCCAACCTTGCCAAACTGTGGCTGCAAACAAGCCAGGGGATGTGCAGGTCCTTGCTCAAGGAAGAAGCCCAAAGAAAACTAGTAGAGAGTATGTGAAAGAGTTGAGGGGATTGCAGGGGGACAGAGGACAAAAAAGGTTGCAGGGACATGATGAAATAGCTGTGTAAATCTAAGGAATACTTGTGGTATTTGTGATGGGTTTAATCCATATAACATACATCAGAAATTATGTAGTTCTTTCCTCATGTAGTGAAATCTTCCAAAACAGGTGATTTAAGGCCTTATTAAAAGTCTGGATAGTTCTTCTTTATTTGCTAGCACTTTTAACATGCACTTTTAATCCCAGCTTTTTTCCAGGAGCGTAGTTTCACTGACTTTCAAATTAGGACTTCGGCAATGTTCCCTGAGCAAGGAAGTGAACAAACCCTTGAAGCACCCTCAACAAAAGCCAGAGGGCAGAGGATAACTTCAGCTTCTCCAAGCAGGGATGGAAACAAACCACAATTTACATAGGTGTTTATACAACTCTGGTGAGCTATGCACAATATGTAAGAAATGCAGAAATTTCAGCTCTGCTGAAATTCGATGGAATTTATGCCATCGACTTTAACAGGACTAAAATTTGGCTCAAGGATGGTTTGTTCTGTCTTGGTTTTGTTTTGGTATTTTTCCCTTTGAACCTGGAGTTTTAAATTTAATCTTCCGAATTTGGATGGTAACATTCTTCCCAAGCCTGAAGTAAACAAGGTAGTGAATTTTATGTTCAATGACATGCCACCTGAGAGAAGCAATAAGGCAGTTAGTACTAGTTTTGGATAGCTCTTTCCAAGGCTATTTTCTGCCTCAGCACAGTCACAATTAACTACTATAGTTTAATAATCTTTCAAACAAGTCTGTGGTGTAACTACCTGCTCCTATGGGAGGAGCATTTTCTGAACTATTTCTTTTTAATATGTGAAATTTAATTAAGACAAAATATTCACATGCTTTAAACTAGTTAATAAACAAAGAGAGCCTTAACAGGAAAAACAAAGGTGGCAACACATTATCTTTATGCCAGGCTACTTGGGACAAAGTGAAATTTTACAAGAAAATACTGAAAAATACTGAAAGCTACATATTTTATATAGAAAAAAGGCAAAGGGTCACTTTCATCAAGTGCTTGGTGAAATGTAACCTAAGCAACATGGACAATAAATAAAACAGCCAGCCAAAAGCAACTTTCAAATAAGATTACTTCAGTTTGCTTTCACAGATTATAATAGTAGCAAATGCCACATCTTTCCTAAACTTAAGAACACTTAAACAAATACCATTATCACTTTACCTGCACTAAGCAAAGCCCATAAAAATTCATATAGCCTCTTATACAGTGAACTTTTCTTAAATCGAGTTTCTATTACTTTAATGATCTTCACAATTGTTAGCTGAACATTAACTTGCCTAGTAATATAATCTGTGTAATTGACTTGCTTTTGAATGCCATTCCAGCATTAAAGAATGGATGGAGGGGAAAAAAGAAAAATTGAAATAAAGGGATGAGAGCAGGCTCAAGTAAGACCTTCCCTTTATCTGACTCTTTATGGGGCATGTTTGCTTTCTACAGTTTCTTGCCCCCCCAACCCAGCTATTTTATCTCTGCATCACTATCCCTTGCTCTTGATTGATCTCCTCTGGAAACAAACTAGCAGGGAAGAAACCAGAAGCCAGAAAGGCAGCCTTAGGAAGTCGTAAAATCAGCAGCTTCTAGTTGCCAAATGCCAGAGCACAAAGTGCTTTTCATTGCTGCCTGTTTGGAACACTTTTGGGGATGTCAAAACTAGAGCAAAATTTTGGATTATGGATACACATGCTATGTCAGTGCAGGTTTTACAGATCAAGCCATCACAAATGCACAGATTACAGAGACAGAATAAGGCTGAAACCTGAAAATACCTGGAAAGCCATGCTCGTCACAGTACTTGGAACAAAAGTTAAGCACATGTATTTCTGCAATGAGGAGATGAAACTGCAATTGCAATGACAGAATAGTTCAGGAACTTATTCCTATGCTTATTATCAACATTGGAAGTTCCATCTGAGATGAGAGGCAAATACATTTCACTGTTTGGTAACAGGTTTGGGACACACCTTGTGATGGTTCTTCTGCAAGAAACCCTGAGACAGTCTAAATACACATGCCTTCAGAGGAGCTTCTGCTCCAGATTGCTGAAGTAAAATATTCTCTCCCTCCATTTTAGTGCTTTCTAGGAAAGCGAATTAATAACTTCATGATATTTATTTTTGGAGACCCCAAGAGAAGCCAGTAATACAGCTACATAGACCAATCTTTCCCTGGAAGTGGCTATAAATGTTCCCTCTGGAACACTCTCAATTCCTGCCAGTCCACTGATAAAAGGTGCAGAGACCAGCAGACCCCTGTTATCAGAAGTACCTGCACCTTCTGGTGAGGCCCATCAGCTAACTTAGTAAAAAGATGTATGTTGTGGGGGTAGACCTTAACTGCACAGCTTCTTTTTATACAAAAGGATCACTTGGCAACAGAAACATCTGCACCCACCCCAGCTCCAGTGGCTATGTTTGTCCCTGGATGTGGTAGGGGAATGTGGGCAGCCATCCCATGTTTTTTCAGCAGACAGCAGCACCCATATGACCAGTGCAGCCAGCTGCATGGCAGCAACATGCTCTAGGATGGCATAGCACACACAGACCTTCAAGGAAGAAGATTCAGCCAAAATGCTGTCAAAGGACAGCTGAAGGGCTTAGTTTGGGAAAAAAAACAAAACCCCAAACAAAAAAACCCAAAAAACAAAAAGAAGCACCAAAACCTCCTACAAATTGGCTGCAGGACAAAACTACATGCCAGCCTTAGGGACATGCATACACTTGTAGAATTCACAGTCAAAGGTGCACAAAGGCTCAAATTGTACAAGTATGAAGGCACCCAAGAGATGTGAATGCTTGTGTATGACCACTGAAAAATCCTTTACCTTTGTAACGCAGGTGGATGATGCAGCTATTGTGGGCTTGAATTTGTAGCTATTTGGCAACAGGGATTATTTTAAAACTTGAACAGGTAACTTCCCAGGTTATTATTTTAATAATAGACCCATGTCTCCTGGATGACACACACAGAAGCATTAAGTGCAGTAAATGTGTTTCAATTCTAATCTTCCTATCATACATATTTATATACAGCACTAATATAGCACTTTACAAAAGTGCAGCAAACACTTGTAATCTCTGAGTTGTTTTTAAAGGGATCTTTTGGGTTATAATTTCAGTCATGCACTTTGAAATAAAACCACAGAAGTTAAAAGTCAGTTTACTGTTCTGTTGTGACACCCAGGATGAAAAGAGATCCTGGAAACAACTTCAGTTCTGCTACACTGAAAAGCAAGTAACTTTGCAAGGACAAACTTGTATATTAAAAGAGTCTAGACGAAGCCAGACAGCCTAATGCAATTCCCGGTTACAGTGCTAAACAAGATGACTAGCTACTGACATGGTCATGATGGAGTTTGTCAGCCTTGGGCCACCACAGTGTCACTGCTTATGTTTAAAAAGCACTACTTGTTCAGAAATACTTCCAATATTTAGTTATATTTTATTACTTCCAATAATTACAATTTTATTGCAGCATCATAAGCTCTGCGTTAACGTTAACCAACAAGAAAAACCTTAGAAAACACTTGGATGCCTCACAGATAACATAAAAAAAGTTCTACTTAGACCACTTTATATTCTTCTTTTATTTTTAATGTAGTTTTAAGATAGCGTATCTAAACAGAAGAGGGAAGATCCCTACCTTACATTTAAGCTCAGTTATTCTTACAACACACGCAAGTAGACTCTTATATAGAGAAAAAGACTTTATAGAGGGAAAGGCTACTGTGCTAACAATTCAGAAGAAAACAAGAACTAAAAACCACAAGCATGTCTATATTAAAAGCAAAGAGTTTAAAAAGCAGTATTACAATACTGAAGCATTTCACAGTTCCCTGTACTTGGAGGTCTTCATAAAGTACTGACAATTAAATCTTCCTTCCTCTCTCCTTTTAAGAAACCTACCTGTGCTTGTTTGTTGGTGTACAAATACTGCTGGTTGAGTTTGGATGAGCAATCCTATGTGAAATAGGGAAGAATTTTCACTAAGTGCTGTAGCTGCCTATCTAGCAAGAACTAAGGAATTCTGTGGTATTTAGTACCACTGGCAACAGCAGCATTACAAACCCCTGGATTTTCTTGCATATTAACAGAACACAGAAGCTGCAAAGTAAGTTGTAAAAAGCATTTATCACTTCTCAGCTCTCAAATGCAAAGATTCTCTTGAGAAGGAAGTGGAGGGAGAAAAGAATAGGACGGAAAGAGTATCTGCTGAACTTAATTTTTAAGCTATTCTGTGCAAGTTTCAGAAAAGGGCCTTGGGGGGACAAGGGTTTTTTGAGGGAATATGAGAAAGTCTGAACCATGACTGAAATTCATTATGTTTTTGGCAAGTGGCAAATGGACTCCTCACTTTAGAATTATATTTTTATTAGAACTATTTTAGAGATTAAGAGTGGAAAAGGCTGCCCAGGGAGGTGGTAGGGTCACCATCCCTGGAAGCATTTCAAAGAAATGTAGATATAAATAAATGTAGATATAGTGCTTAGTGATGTGATTTAAGCACTGAATGGGTAAATCAGGTTATGGTAGGGGGATTTAGGTTATGGTTGGACTTGATGATCTTCAAGGTCTCTTCCAACCAGGATGATTCTATGATAAGAAAACAAAAATGGGAAAAGCAACTTTAAAAAGGTTCTGCAAGAAATGATCTTAAAGTGACTATGCAGTTAGAGCAAGAGACATTTTTCAGGCTTATCTATAAAGCAGTCTTTTCTGGTGATGCCTAAAATACTTGTTCTATGCAGCTATCCTCTGAAACAAGTTGTCTCAGTGCACTCTGATAACACAGCCGAGCCAATCTGTTAGCTCTCAGCTGACAAGATGTCAACCAGGATCAGCTGCCATAATCTCACTCACAAGCTCCCACCACTTGGCTTTCACCTGGGCTCTGCTGCTTATCAGACTACACAGTAATGCAGATTCAACTCACTAATGCAGCAGAAAGTTAACCTAACCGAAAGTCTCTTATCAGTTGAGGCTCAATGGGCATATTAAGCAGCCAACCATGAGAGCTAGGGTATGCAGGGACAAGAAAGAGTAGGGCTGGGGCTGCCACTTTTGGCAGCATCCAACCATTATATAAGTTCTGCTCTTTTATCTTTATTGTGCCATGAGTTTCCACAGACTTCTTACAGTTCTGCCTCTTTTTCTTCTACTAGGGAGATGCACAAGTGTTTCTACAGTACATACTGAAAAATAACTAACAGGAAAAAAATGAGTGAGAGCAGGTAAATCTTCAGAAATGTTTCTAGTTTCAAAGAACTGCAGAGTTGAAAGGAACCCACCAGCCAGAGTTGGAACATGCTAACTTTAAACACACTTTAACTGGTTATAAATATATTCTGCCAAGACTTCATAGTGATCTCCAAATCATTTTGGACATATTAAGCCTTGCCTAAGCAACTCAAGCCCATAAGCAAGGAAAATGCTTAGAATAATAGTGGGGAACTCCACAGCCAAATCCCATCTCTTTAGCACTAGCACTCACAAGCAGCCCACAGACAGTGGTTCATTTTTTTACTTCCCTTCTTGCTATTCACTTATAGGACTCCATGGTAAGAAAACCTGGAGTTTCTGTCCTTTACCAAAACCCCAGCTTCCATAACATTTTCATCACACAGTTATGTGCGAGGTAATAGAAACAAGTCTTCTTTGTGTTCAAAATTAGTGACTGAAGGACAGTAAAAGTTAACAGAATAAGGTGAGTCAAAAAGATTGCCTTACACAACATATTGTCAAGAGAGTTTAAAGCAAATATTAGGCCACATTTTCCCTGCCACTAAAAACACTTTACTAAAAGCCAAGTTAAAAAGTTACAATTATTTATGTCTAAATCATAGCATATCAAAAGCAGTAGTTGATATTTCCATAGTAATTCTTTACAGTTATTTTAAGTACACACAATGCTTTTTCAGCTTCAAATCTCATACCTGCATTTAAACTAAATAGCAAAATTAGTTGGAGACTTGGGGAATGTTTTGTTTGAAATTGTATTTCCCCCCATACATTAAAAAAGCCCCTTCCTTAATGTCATTGACACTGAAATCTCAAAAGGCATAGAAATCAGAGCAGCCATCTACAAAATTCATGCATTTAATTAAGAAATTGTACCTAACCTTTTACAATAAAATTCTGCCTCTGGAGATTATATCCAAGATTTTTGGAAACCTTTACATTTAACTACAGATTTAAACAAATACAGATACCTACCTATACTGGAGGTATAATCGGTGGCTCCAAAGATCAACTCTGGTGCCCTGTAGTACCGAGAGCAGATGTATGAGACATTAGGTTCTCCACGAACCAGCTGTTTTGCACTGAAAAAGAAACAAAATGACAAAAAAATACAACAAAATAACAAAAATAATACAATAGTATTTCAGTACTGAATAGTTTTACAATATTGCAGTGCAGACCAACTCTCTTCACCCACCCTCAATTCTTAAATGCTCAAGTACCATGTTCTTCTAAGCTGATGCAAGCCATAGACTCCATGAAATCAGCCAAATCCATTAAGCAGCTAACCTCATACTGGACATAGCAAAGGCAAGTCTGACTACAATGTAGGTGTTAGAAGAGTCAGATTTTTGGCTGGAAGCTGTCTTTCATCAGGTAGAAAGGTTTGTTTAGAAAGAAAAAGAGAACAGAAGACGGTTCAGTCAAACGTAGTTATCTTTAAAAGTTAAAAAGTTCTGGATATGCACCAGAACTGAATGTTTTGTTGGTCGGGGTTTTTTTGTGATTTGTTGTTTTTGTTTTAGTTTCTATCAGAATAATCTGGCTCTTTGCCATTTAAGGGAGTGTGTTATGAGGTGACAAAAGGAAAAAAAATTGCCATTGTAGTCACATGTTCATGTCCACAATTAATATGAAAGGCTTCATTTATACTGCAAGAGATCAGCCACAAAATTTTATCTACAATATTGCCATAATCACTACCTTTGGAAGAATGTAAGAAAATAAAGGATCATGAGAGCACACTACTTTTGGCGTCTATGGACATACTGTACTTCTTAACACTAAGCATTAGATGGGAATGAGCTGGAAGACAAAACTGGCCTTTCAGAAATACAACGTTCACTAAGCAGAACCAAACTCAGCAGCGTGGCAAGGAAGCCAAACCCAATGTCTTGCCTTCCAGAAAGCCTCTGAGGAAGAAGCACTCCCACCACCCATTTAGCCTGCTTTAGAAAGTGTCAGTTTTGTGTTCTATATAGAAAATACAATCAACAAATTCCTCCTGTTAACACAGAGAAAGTTCCACCTTTTTATGCACTGTTACTTTTGAGCTTCAGTGCAATTCCTATTTTGCTCCAACACCATTCAGGCAGACCTGAGGAAGGAGATTGCCAAACCCACCAGGCATGATGATACACTGCTTGAATAACCATCATCTGACATTCCCTCCCCCTCACTACAGGCAAGTGAATTTAACAACAGCAGCTTCCATGACCTCTCGCATGTATGCCCTATTTTTGTCTGCAAAGTTATAATACAATCTAAAGACTGAACTCTCCTGGAGAGAAATCTGTCTTCTGTCTTGGTTAGGATTTCTAAAATACCTGTATCACTTCTAAGATGAGGCTGGACTTCCAGAGGTGTTTCATTTGAACAGATACTGGAAATAAATGTGCTGTTGGAAAGTAGGATACAGACATCCACTAAGAGCTTCAATGAGAAGTGCAGCTACAGTACTTGAATTGGCTTACACACAAGTAGACTAATAAAGTGTAACAAGCCTTTGTAGGTTACTATGCCACTATGCCTGTCTGTTCTTCCCCAACCACATTTCAACCTAGTATTTGGTTGTATTTTTCCATGGCACAGTACTTTATGTGATGGCATACTAATTTTCTGTTTCTAATACCTGCAGAAATAACAGGCTTTGACTAAACTCATTCCCTCTTGATATCCTTTTCAAGCCTCTCCCTGCCCCCTCTATTAATTCATTTTGAGAGGAAAACAGAGTATTGATAACTTCCTCTCTCAAAACAACAAACTCACTTGCACTCAGATTCACTGTGAAGGAAGCTATTTACACCAGGATTTAGGCTACAGATGCACTTACCTTCCGAAGTCGCAGAGTTTTAGAACAGCTGTATCAGGGTCCAGCAAGAGGTTTTGTGGTTTTATATCCCGGTGGCAGATCCCAAAGGAATGGATATAGGCTAAACTCCGGAACAGCTGATACATGTACAACTGGAAAACAGAAACATTGCCTAAGACACACTTCCACAGTCAGAACAGGACACACAATTAATTTAGCAAAAATTCTTATTAGAAGAAAATCACCCAAAAAATACCCTACCAAATGCATATTAGCACTATGACAATGGGTAAGGTAAGATGGGTAAGACATTCACATACCTTCCTGACCCACCCTTTGCCACATATCCACAGGTGGTGTTTAAAATTGTTCATTTGTCCTTTTAAAAACATGCACAATCCAAAAATTTAAAACATAATAATTGTGCCAGCTTTTCAACATTTATGAATAGTAGCAGTAATAAAAAACACAGAAAATGAAGGTGTTTCTGTTTGCTTTATAAATCAACCTCTTCAGAGAAATGAAGCATTCCAGGGTATTAAAACACAAAACTAAAAAAACCAAACCAAACCAAAAAACAAACTAGTAAAGAAATATGCCCTCCAAAACCCCAACGAAAGCCCTTTAGCTGATGAAGTTATTAACAACATATTAAATATTGTCCAAGGACCACGGTAGTGTCCTGGCCTGTCTGTCATCTGAGTCAGTCTCCCAGTTTCTCTTGGTGAGGTGACAGACTAACTTAATTTCAAATCTCCAGGCAAAGAGAGAAGGCAAAATCAACTGTTCAGAATAATTTTATAGAAGACACAGCAAACATGTAAGCTGAGGAAGTTTTCTCTGTCCTCTTTCCAAAGCTGGCTAACCCCTTAGCAAGGAGGAATAAAGCAAGGGGAGACATTATGAAACTAAGAGCTTCAGAGGGCAAGACTAAAGGGCACTGGGAGGATGTCCAGCTGCTGGAGCCACATACTTTTGGATAGTGAAGATAAAGAGCTGATGGACACAGGGCTGTATAGCAAATACAGTCAAAAAGGCATGGCAAGCCCTGTTTCAAGGTTGACAACAGGCTGCCACGTTGTTATCTTTATTGTGTCCCCTGCAAGGTTCCACTTAAAATCAAGCTACAGGGAGGATATTGTACTGGAAATGTACCTCCACAGTTTCCTTTTCTAAGCACATTCTCCACCTTTAACGGTCTATAAAGCCAGATGTAATTACTAGATACTGATATTGGGTCATGTTTGTCTCACTTTCACCACTATCTTCGTCCTTACACTCTCTCTCTCCCTTGTTTTTTCTTGTTTGTTTGGCGGGCAAGGTAGAAGTAGGAGAATTGCCTGAATTTTGGCTGTAGGTCTTAAGTTTTCATATTTGTTTCTGAAAACCACAACTCTGCACAAAGAAAAGCAAACAAAACATGTTTTCTGAATTGCCTGTTCTAGACACGTTGAGTAAGTATTGTGCAAGGGTATTGCAAAATAATCCAAAAGATTGCTCTAACTTGAGGAGTCAACACATGGGATTTAGGAAGTATGCCTTTCATCTCCACACAGCAAACCCAAAATTTCCAAGAATTTCTTACAGCATGTTAGAAGTTACAAATAAAAGTTAACAAAAAGACTACTAGAAAAGCTTCCTTGCTGGTGTTTTCTTAACAGTTTATTTGTAACCGGGAGGAGAGCATCTCTCTGCCTGCCTAGGTATCAACCAGAAGTAAACAAATATGTATGATCTGATCTTCTGTAGCCAAGAAAAACTGCAAAAGCTTTACTGACATCAAGATAATGTGATCTTTTAAAATACGAGATTATTAGAAGCTTGCCTTGCTAGAAAAATACCAACAGCCTTCCAGGCTACCTGGAATGGGAAGTCCCAATTATCCAGCAAGATGAAGACCTTAAGCAACATTTTCCCTCAAAGTATAAGTAAGTACCATTTTTCCTAAGTCCCCATAATGAAAAACAATTAGGCCAAGCATACTGACAGAAGACATAAAAAATGTATCAAAAGCTAAGCTAACAAATTTTGAGGATAGTATAACCCAAAGACAAGCTTTTCTACCAACAGAACAAACAGAAAGACTTCACAGTAGGAATTCTACTGCTGGATTATGAGATTCCAGTTCCGATTATTGCAGAGACATACCATTTACAATTTACGTGTATGCAGCTATGGTACAACACTTTTTTTATTAAAATAATTACTGTTTGTAGCTTTCATCTTTATAACTTTCATCTTCATAACTTTCATCTTCTTTCAATCAGAACCAAGCTTTTTCTTAAGCCCACCCTCATGTTCAGCATTTGAGTCTTAGAGAGGAGTCTGGATAATTCAATATGAACCAGTAATATTTGTTGCTGATTTCCATTTAATGTTACCGGGATGACATGTTAACAAGTTAATGCCATGTGAAAACATGATCATAGACCAGTGTGTGGATTGAAGTCACGATCAATATATGAAATGGAACTACAAGACCCAAGTGAGTCCCTTGTTTGACAAAAAATAATGACAAAAAAAAAGTTATATTCATTTTAACTCCTTTGTAAGAGATGACAAAAGATGCAGACAACTTAAATGAGGTTTTGAGGCTACAATGTGCATACAAACATCCTACACCACACATGATGAGTGAATGAGCTCCAAGTGGGGATAAAAATAGGCCTTTCAAGCCCACAAGAGAAACACATGAACTTTCACTCATATGTCAGGAAAAGGGGGAGATAACAAATAAGAGAACACAATTCTTCCTAACATCCTCTCTTGAGTTTCTGACCTTTGCACTATTGTGTCTTCATCATCTCAGGAAACTGAAGCTGCTAATCTGGCTGGTGTCAGCCTCTAAGCTGCTTAAAAACCAAAACACTTCCCCTACACTCAGTCTCCCCCATCCATTCTAAGATTTTTGTATAGCAAGAAATCAAAAGTGTTGCTTTAACCCTCTGCCTTCTATTGTTCCTTTGCTATAAAAACTAAGAAGTTGTGTTTTTTTTCCTTGCCTCAAGATGTATGAAGTCTTAAAAATTGCAGAAAATTAATTATTTCAGAAAAGATGTATCCACAGAGTCTCTTCCAGTAATATCCTTCTTCATCTAACCATATCTACCAGTTACGTACCTTGACATAAATCATAGGGAGTGTCTGTTTGGCCCGACTATAATGTCTGGCAACTCTGTATACTGTTTCAGGAACGTAGTCCAGCACCAAGTTGAGGTACACCTCATCTTTCTGAAAGAGAATAGAGAAAAAATAGTTTTAAAAAAATCAGCAATAGATTTGAGGTACAATTACAGCATTCAGAGAAGTCAAGAGGATAAGAAAGCCATAGACATTTTAAGAACATGTATTCTGTGGGCATGTGAGCTGCCACCAAACTATTTTTCTGTTGAGCTTTGTACTTGTGCACTAATACTGAAGTCAAACTTATGTTTAAGGTCACATTAATTCATATGGTCTCCAACATAAAGCATTTTCTGGTTATAAATGCTGACAAGGATATAATTGTTCTGCCCATTCAGTATTTTCGTTGGGAGATATTTCAAGGTGACACCCTCATCATTATTTAAAGCATTCTATTAACCCATTAGTACTTTACCTGCCAAAACCCAAGAAGTGCAAGTTGAAAAGTCCCAAACTCACTCCTCACAACAACACACACACACACAAAGTTAAAAAATGCTACATCTTTTAGAAATGTTACTTTGATTTTAATGAATTCTTAGCTACTAAGGGATTAATAATACATACTAACAATTAAGGAACAGTAAGCCAGCATTAACATGTGTAACCTTTTTGTTTACATGCATTTCCATGTTTCAGTTACCTCCAACTTAAACCCTGCTAACTTACTCACGGCAAAAAAGAACAAGACAGAAACTAGTACTAGAGTAACACTTCTGATGTCTAGGATCAGGTCCGTGTGAACATAGTACAGAGAAACAACAAAAAGTAGATTTACAATAAGGTACTTTGTTACAGAATACATTAACAAAGGAAAGAAGTAACAAGGGGGAATTAAGTGTCAAAGTACTATAATCAGATAGAGCCTAATTGTGGAACTGAGAATTCAGAAGTAAAACAGGTCTTAAAAAGACTTCTGATACTTCAATGCAGTCCTCTATGCAAATTCTGCCAGAACTGTGAATACATTTAGTTTTGGGGGCTGGGTATAATTAGCTACATCAACATGCAAAACTATTTTTGAAAGCTAGATGAATTAACCAGAAGTAACCTCCCCTGTGCTTGCTTTATTAACAGCTAGATCTTTCTACAGAGAAAGACAATGCACTAAGTGGATGGAAACAGTACAGAACTCTCGGATCTTCAACTTGAGACCCCTGTCAGGCGGCTCATAGCCGATTCACTGGCTATGAATCTTAATACTTGAAACCAAACCTTATTTAGCTACAGCAGTTTAATAACATTATTGCGACTAAAAGCATCACATCAAGCATGGAGTGTGGTGTGTTGCTCTCACAGGACTCTGTTTTCCTCACTTGCCTCCTGCTTCAGCAAAGAGCAGCAGACTCCAGTGAATAAACAAACAGTACATGGTAGCACACAGAAATACACACTTTTAGAGTACATCATACGCAAAGCACTGCTGTTTCTGTGTGTTGTTGAAGACTCAATTAAAAATCACTATTCACCATTACTTGACAAACTTGTATTTTCAGGACATTTTAATAGCTCACCAATGCCTCCTAATAGGCCAAGTCACATTGCAAGACCCTGCCTACATTACTTTTCCCTATATAAAGACACTGGTTTTACTATCATTGCTTAAATTATGGTGGTAATAGCGCCAGCACTATGCAAATGCCAGTGGCCCATTAACTCCTGTTCTTATGGTAACTCTCCAAAATAATCAAGTTGCAGCAGACTTCAAAACCCTGCCTACACTGGGGCTTCTTTCACTTCTATCCAAGTAACTGGGTAACAACATGAGGAAACTTGGGGACCAGGCCGGAGAATGAACTTTTGGATGAAGGGACAGCTATCAGCAGTGCAGAAGAAAGGGCAGATGGCTCTGGAGCTCCATGGATGTGCAAATGTACACAAGAAAACAATGTACTTCTATTTTAGCACTTTCCTTTTTGCAACAAGGTAAGTTCTTCTTTTCCTGACTCTCACTTCAAGCCAATAAAAATCCACCATTTCTTATGTCAAGAGCTTTTAAGGTATAAAATATAAAATACATAAAATAAATGCCTTGAAAAATCAAAGTTAGCTTATGCCTGGTAAAGCAACCTGTACTTCACAAGAAAAAAGTCTCATCGATATTAATTCTGTTTGATTTGGTGTAGATAAAACCTGATTAACATGTTGAATGCTTGTGTCATGGTTTGGGCCTAACACAACAACAACGAAACAGCCACCTGGCCACCCACTCAACTCCGCTGCCCCTCACGCTCCCACCCCCGTCCTGCACACAAACACACTGTGGGACAGGAAGGACAAAGACCAACTAGAAGCTCATGGGTCGAGACAAGGGGCAGGGAGGGTTCTTCACTGATTAAGGTTATGGGCAAAACAAACTCAACTTGGGGAAAAAGAATAATTTCATTTCACACTCATCAAACACACAGAGGACACAAACAACCCATAGAGCAGGGCTTGCCTACGTTATTCCACCCCTCCCTTCTTCCCGGGCCCAAATCACTTTGTTCCCGGTTTCTCTCCCTCCTTCCCCCCAGTGGCACAGGGAGACAGGGGATGGGGTTTAGAGTCAGTTCACAGGCTGGTGGTTCCTGCTGCTCCTTTCTTCTCAGGAAGAAGGATT